ACCCACTCCATCACATGGTATGATATTGTCCGCTTTAGGCCTGAACCCGTACGGTTTTGCTCTTGAGCTTCACCCCAAAAGGCCTTATACCAATTGGAGGTGACACACTTATATATAAGCACTTCACCTTTCCTCTACTCAGGCGATGTGGGATTGTGCACCCGTAACTCGCTAGTGTGGTAGCCTGATAGTGTCTCTCGCACCCGTCCACGGCACACCCGCCCACAGGGTCATCACAATCTACCCCTCTTTTTAGCCCGACGTCCTCATCGGCACACTTCCGGTTGGATCAGGTTCTGATACCATTTGTAACGACCAACTCTACCACATGGTATGATATTGTGATGACCTTATGGGCGGGTGTGCCATGGACTGGTGCAAGAGACACTGTCAGGCTACCACACTGGCGAGCTACGGGTGCACAGTCCCACATCCCCTGGGTAGAGGAAAGGTGAAGTACTTATATGTAAGTGTGTCATCTCTAATTGGTATGATGCCTTTTGGGGTGAAGCCCAAAGCGGACAATATCATACCATGTGTTGGAGTGGGTCATTACAATGTTCTACTCCTATTCTTTAATCTATGGTTCAATACATGTTTAGGACAACTTTAGGATGATTATAGAAGATTAATGAACCTGTTTGCATGCTTTAATCGGATTAAAACGGAAACTAAATATGTGTATATGCTTGTATTCTTGATTTATATGATTTTGTGATTGAAAGCACGATTTGTTGATTAATCTAGTTGTAAACAAGTATAATCGTCTTAAATAAATTATTGTGGATGTTTGGGACAAAGAACTGAAGCTTAGAACCCATAACAATGGAGTTTGAAGGAGTTGCAGAGGCTGAAAAACAGAGAAGACGACCAGTAGCAGGAACGAGCCGACTCAGTTGCTGAGGAGTCGACTTCTCAGTTGTAGAATGAGCCGACTCATTCTAGAATGAGTTGACTCAGTTGGGAACTAATCTGACTCATTCTGGAATGAGTCGACTTAGTTGGTCTGGACGTTGATTTCTGGGTTTTTGGATTTCAAATGGCATTGTAGCTTGGTTTAATCACTTTAAATGATTATTATGGATGGATTAAAATCCCAGAATGTCTAGTATACATTTATATGCTAGATTAGGCATTTTAAAGGCTCGAATTGACTAATATAAATTGTAAGTTAGTAATTGGAGCAAGACGGTTTTAGTTAAATGTTTTAGTGGTAGTACCAATTAAATTGTTAGCGTAGTAGGTTCATGGTTAATGGGAGTTATATTTATGATTTATAATGCTAATCGAATTATTAATCATAAAAGGATATTTTGCTAAGAGTTATATTATTTCTTGCATTGTAAATGGTAATAAACAGTATGTGATTACAATTGAGGAATAGGATATTAACCATACTGGATTAATGTGGACTAGGAGATGTTATGCAATTTAATTGATATGTAAGTTAATTACTTGTTTAGTAAGTTAATTATATGCTACTTAGAATTGCTATTTATATTGCTTAATTAAATGCAATGGATATCTGTATGATTATTATCATGTTTACTCCTGAATCATGTGATGTACATACATACTTGCATCATTTATTGGATTATGTGGGAACCATTTTCAGGATATGGTTTCGGATTAATGCACCATTATCAGGATATATATGGAGGCATATTATACAGATGGACTAGCTATTAAGTAAGTCTTATCTTTTCGTGTTAGGCCACGGAACCATTTGAATAACATGCCATTGAAAGACTACGGTGGATAGTTTACTTTATTGAATTTGGATAGGAGATGGATTTATATATATGTATGTACCATGATATGAGCTTGAGTTCACAGGATCGATAGTTAGGAAGACTATATTGCCCTGGATGCATAGCTGGATATAGAAGATGTGTGTATACCTTGCTAGATAACGGTGTTCATGACTACCTATGTGTTTTGCATGATGCCTAGTATCAGGATGAATCTGCCCTATAGTCCAGTGAGAATCTTTAGTGTGTATCTATATATATATATATACAGACTATGTAGCTATTGCATGAGTTGACTAAGATGTATTCATTCCTTAAATTTCTGTTACATGTAATAGAAAGAACTTGTTTGTGGGCCTGACCACTATTTATTTTTTTAGGTTTATGTCAGTACCAGGTGTAGATTTTGTTCGTGGAAAGCAGAGACCAGTCATCATCATTCTTCTGGATTATCTACATAGGATTTTACTTTATATTTTAGTTTTCAAATGTAGACAGTTGTTGATGTTCTTTGTATCAGTTTGGGATTTTCTAGGGGTCCACATAGCATGGATTCCCGAATTGTATTTCGAAGGATTATTGATATCAGAGGAATTCATTATTTAATGAAAGTTATTTTGAGGATTTTATTATTGTTCTAGTTTTCATTTCCGCATTTTATTTATTATATTTATTCTTTTTGTATTCTGTGTTCGTTTATTGCTAGTTTGTTTTTTATATCTCCAGGTATTCGGGCGTGAGCCTGGTCAACCAGCATTTGAAAATCTGGAAGTGTCACAAAAAATGAATTGAAAATAAGATACATTAAAAATTAAAAGAAAAAAAACCTAAAAGAAAATAGAGAGAAAAAATTGAAAGTAAGAGACATTAAAAATTAAAAGAAAAACCCTAGAAGCAAATCAAAACGACGAAGAAGCAAAAAAGCAAAACTGAGAAAATTAATTGAAAATAAGAGACATTAAAAATGAAAAGAAAAAACCATAGAAAACCAAATTAAAAATCATAACTTGCACTTACAATTTCTTTGTGATTCTTCTTCTGCTGCGAACCTTAGAAGCACTTTATTTTTAATATTATATATTTCATTCTCTAATTAGATTTCCTTATGAATTTGAAATAATATGGAAATAATATGAAAAAAAAAGTTAATTATTCAGTTGACAATTATAATATGGTAGTTAAATTGAAAAGAAAATATAAAGAAATCCTATTAAAAAATAAATTAATATATGTACTAAAACACAATAATGTATTGAAACTCTCTTTAATTCGTTTGAGGTAAATTAGAAATTATATTAATTGCTATTTTGGGAAGACTTAGAAATATGATAAATTCGACTTATTTATAATTATTACTAAGTGTTCCATTTATTGAATCATTTTCTAATTAGATTTTCTTTTATAGTTTAACTTTTTAATATTATATATTTTCTTATGAATCTGACATAATATGAAAATAATATGAAAAAAAGTTAATTATTTAGTTGACAATAATTATATAGTAGTTAAAATTGAAAATGAAATCTAAAGAAATCCTATTAAAAATAAATTAATATATGTATTAAACACAATATTGTACTGAAACTTCCTTTAATTTGTTTGAGACAAATTATAAATTATATTAATTGGTATTTAGGGAAGACTTATAAATAAAATAAAATTGGGTTTATTTATAATTATTACTAAATATTATTTTTTCTTTAGTAGTTTAATTTTTTAATATTATATATTTCCTTATCTAATTAGATTTTCTTATGAATTTGAAATAATATGGAAAAAACTTAATTATTTAGTTGGCAATAATAATATAGTAGTTAAAATTGAAAAAGAGATATAAAGAAATTATATTCAAAAATAAATTAATATATGTACTGAAACTAGGGCTGCAACTTGGGCGGGTTGGGCGGGTTTGAGGTATAATTTGAGTCCAGCCCACCATATAAAATGCTAAACCCAAGTCCAAGCCTAACCCTATCTTCAACCTTAATTACTTAACCCAAACCCAACCCATCCTTTTACTTTTAAATTCAGGCTTACAACTCGGGCTTAGATTCTGGGTAAAACCCTCGGGTTAATTCGGGCTACTTATATGGCTAATTCTTACATCGAAAATTTAATATGATCTAGAATTAGTTTTAGATTAAATTACTCTTAAATAATAAAAAGTTTATAGAAATTTTATTTTATTTTATTTATTTATTATTATTATTTTTTTGTAAATTTTTAATAAATTACAAACAAAGTTTTAGAAAATTAATTCTCATAAATATTAACATACAATAAGTTAAGATTTAACAAAAGAAGTTGAAAAGAAAAAAAATAATCATAGTTTAAATATTATATATAATGTATTTAAGAGTAAAAATATATATGAAAATAATATTAGAATTCGGGTTCGGGTTAGCTCAGGTTGTTAGCACTTCAACCCAAATCTAACTCTAATTGTAAAAATAATTGTCCAAATTCGTGAAAAGTCGAGCTGGGCTCGGGTTGGGTTCGGATTATCCAACCCAAGCCTAACTAAAACACAACAATGTACTAAAACTCCCTTTAATTCGTTCGAGGCCAACTAGTAAAAAATACGTGCATGCCATCAAAACTTAAAATTTACTTTATAACTTTTATAATCAAAAATTGTTTTTATTATTTCTTTTACGAATTTTTTTTGTAAACAATAATTAAGTACAAATAATAAAAAAATTAATTGTGATCCAAACCTAAACAAAACAATAATAAACAGAAATAATATAGTTTCTATATGTAAAAAATTAATTGTGATCCAAAATTAAACAAAACAATAATCAAACAAAAATAAAAAAAAGGACGAAAAAGAATACCTTTAATTCGTTGAATTATAAATTTTATTATTGTAAAATTACTATTTGGGGAAGACTAATTAGATTTCTCATTTCCTTTTAAATTTGAAGTAATATAAAAATAATATGAAAAAACTTAATTACATTTCGAATAAGAAAGTTATTAAAATTAGAGTCCGAATAATAATTAATAAAAGAATAATTTGATAATTACATTTCAAATCCCATACAATCTTATCTTTTTATTTATTTATTTATTTGAATTTATTCAACTTACCAATTTTTAAAAGAATAATTTGATAATTACATTTCAAATCCCATACAATATTTATCTTTTTATTTTATTTTATTTTTTTTGAATTTATTCAACTTACCAATTTTATTTTGGAATCACATCAAAACCCTTTTCCAATTCTATTTAAATTCTGAGTAATTCCTATGAAATCCCAAATTAAGTTTCGAAAGACCCTGAACATATTACTCTCTCTCACGGCGGCGCTAGGTGCTCTTTCAATCGCAGTGTCAATCGAAAGTCGGCTCTCTCCCTCATCGCGGAATCACAGCCAGAAGCCCTTCTCTCTCTCTCATCGCAGATCGACGGCTAACCCATCGATCTCTATCTCTCTCTCTCATCGCAGCAACGCCAGCCCTTCTCTTTCTCATTGCAGATCGACGATTTCTCTCTCTTATTGCAGTAATCGTGGAGCTCCTCTGTGGATTCAATCGTACTCCTCAATTCTCTCTTCGATCTTATAATATCTATGTTTTTGTCTAGCGATAGGGTTTGTCAACTCATGCTCGTGGTTTCAGATTTGACGATGCTCAATGTTTTATCAGAAATGCTAATCTATCTTACCATGTTATGGTCTCTTGATTGTACTAATTTTATTGGGCATATGATAGTTATGATCTCTTGATTGTAGTAATTTTATTTGGTATGTGATAAATTGATTGGTAAACCTGTTGTCTGTTATTGTTGGGTATTTGGTGAATTCATTATTGAATCTATGAATTTGGTTAATTCATTATTGAATCTATGAATTTGGTGAAAATTGTTCCTCAAATCAAAGTTGTCACAAATCAAAGTTGTCATATGGGAAAAAAATTGGAATAAATAATAATGAAATTGGCAAGGGTCTGCTTACCATTATATAATAATTGGGGAAAAAGCAAATCAGAGGCGGCAAAGAAGCTCATTTACTCGAATACCTGTTTTTCTCTATAGTACAGAAACTGTTTTCATATAAACGAAATTTAGACCATCTAAATTTGAAAAAAAAAAAAAAAAATTCATGATTCATGATTTCTTCTTTGTATGCCTGTAGTAATTATTGTTGTATCTGCCATTGCAGCTTAAAAGTTGAGCTCATCATCCCTCACAATGGGTCTCCTGGGTAGCAAAATAAGGGAAGAAGATCCATATTCAGAGTCGGTTGGCCCCCTCCGAGTCATCAACACCCTTGGCGTGGGCGTCAAGGGTGGGTCACTCTCTGTGGAGTCACTGGGAGAGCTCACAGACCGCATCCTCGAAACGAAACAACAAGTGGTCGAGTTCATTGACGAATGCAAAGAATTAAAGGACGTATGGTGGAATGAAGACGGACTGTTGGATCTTGTGGTATACTACGTCGGTAACACCATGCAGTTTATTGAACTTTGCACTGCTCTCAACCAGTGCCTCGTTCATGTCAAAGTAGGAACACCCATGATTCAAGCCACTTTAAAGAAATTTGAGGAAGGACAGAAAGAATTAGGGTTGGATGAGAAGAGGGAAATCTATTTGACGACGGTACAGGAATTGAAGAATTACAAGACTGTAGGTCACCCTTTAATACAAAAGTTCTTCTTGTTGTTTCAATCTGTTTATACAAAGCAAATGTTAATGTTCAAGACATTGAAAGCTAAGAAGAGTAAGTTTGTTAAGAAGTGGAAGAAATTAACTTTTGTTGTGGCTTTTGCTTCTGTTATGATGTTTTCTGTTGTGGCGGCGGTGGGGAATGTTGTGATGGTGTTGATGGGTGCTACTACGGCAATGGGGCAGATGGATGAATGGATTGATTCCCTTTGGAACCAGTACGAGGATTTGGTGAAAGGACACAAAGAGACGGCTCCTTCATTATTAAAGATTGAGAATCGGATTGAGATGGGGGACTTGGAGGACTGCATTGGAGCACTAGTGTTGAAGAATGCTGATTTTGATGTTAGTGAAGAGGACGGTGTGACGGTAGCTATGGATGAGATCAAGAAGAGGTTGCGTGAGTTTCTCCAAACTATTGAGAAATTGTATGAACATACTACTAAGCTTAGCACTAAAATAATGAGTGGGTGGAAGGAGGGAATGGTGATCTTGAGGAACATCAATGACCGCGCCTATATGACCTGAATAATATTTGTTACCCTTCTTTTTATCAACAGATTGCGTGTTTTTATTAATTATGGAGTGTGTTTTTATTAATTATGGATCAGCTATATATCCCTAATACTTTGATGATATGCACTGTGGTCCATTAACTTAATTTCGACACTCTTAACATTAATTATTTTAAGCTATGCAGATTCAGCACTTGTTTTCCAGCATATATATGAAATTATCAGGTAATTTTGATACCCCTGACTCAGTGCTCATATTATCACAGGATCTAAACTTGGATGGCTCTTGGGCAACAAGGGCATGAAATTACAAGTTCGGTAAATAATGGAATTTCAGATTTGCTTATTACAAGTGTTGTGGTAAATAATACTACTGAAGAGGACCTACACCAAGCACTGTATAGGTTCCACCTCCTACTAAAGTTGAGCTCATGATAGGGGTGTGCAAAAGGATCGTCAAAAAATCAAACCGGATTGGACCAAATCGGGCGATCTGGGCCTGTTTCATAGCGGTTCGGTCCAATCACAGTTTCAAAATAATGGAACCGTGAATTTTTTGTTCGATTCCAAATTAGGATCCTATAGGACTAAATTGGCCCAGACCGAGCCGTTATAGTATGTATATAAATATATGTTATATTATATATATAGCTATAACTATGTAGTACTCTTAACTTTATAAGGGATTTCGGCACAACGATCAAATGGGAGTCAACACTCATCACCATTATCTGATACTTTTTTATTTATTTATTTTTAATTTTGGGTGCATGCCAACACTATCTAATTTTTTTTCTCTGCTCACACTGCCTCAAAAGGAATAAATATAGTGATAATTTGATTCTTCGTCGCTATAGTAAATAGGAGAGAAAATGGAATTTATTTCTTCGTTTTTTCAAAAGAAATAAAAATAGGAGTAAGCTGTGACACGTTCACTAAAAAAAACCCTTTTGTAGCAAAATTATGGGCGAACTGTTCTCATCACTGTGGGATTCAGTTGTTGATCAATCTCTTTCAAACAACCTTTGAAATTCGGTCATCGTTGATCTTTTATAGTTGCCGTCGGTGACATCCTCTTTCTCACATTCTCTCCCCTTCTCTCTCACTTTCAGTTTACAAATCTCTGGATCTCATGTTTGCACCTCAAGCACAACAATGACAAGTAATCAAGTTTCTTAATTTTCAACCACAGATTTGTCATCTTTTTCAGTTTCAACAAAATTCAACCTTATTTTAATTTATAGTGTTTAGCTTTTGGGTTTATTTCACCCACTTTTTCCTCTCTTTTTCTCTCTATTTTAGTCTTGGATTAGGGAATGTGAATGCTTTTATTGATATTTTTGTTATATATACAATTCAAGGGAAAAATAAGAAAATAAAATTCAATTAGAACAGTGGAACGGAACTGAACCAAACCGTTTTTTCACGGTTTGTGCTGGTTTGGTTCCATGGCTCAAATGGTCTAGTTCGGTTTCAGATTTTTTGGAACTATAGAGAGTGATTTGGTTCCAAAAATTCTCAAAATCAAACCAAACCAGACCGTGTGCACCCCTAGCTCATGATACAATTTCAAGAGACAAATTGAAAAGTTTACAAGCTTTCGTAATGGGTATGAATTATATACTATTATACACTTTCATGAATCGATCGATTTGACTGATTTACACTTATATTCGTTAGAATTTATTATACCATGAACTATGAATACAAACATAATATTTGTGATAAGAAACAAGAATGACTTTCATTTTGGCCCACAAATTACCATCAAATTAGGTTTTCCTAAATTCCAATCTACGCTTCAATCTCGCAAATCATCATCACACACTCTTGTGGTATGGTCACAATTAGGGCTGCAAATGAATCGAGCAGTTCATGAACAACTAGGGCTTGGCTTGTTAAGGGCTCGGCTAGGGCTCGTTCATTAAACAAATGAGCCGAGCTCAAACTTGATTTCTAAGCTCATTTAGTAAACGAGCTGATCTCGAGCAATGTTGGGTTCGGCTCGTGTAGGCTCGTGAACATAAGCTCTTGTAGGTTCGTTTAAGTTCATGAATATGAGCTCGTGTAAGCTCGTCTATATTCATGAACGGTAGGCTCGTTATAAGACTCGTTTACATTAATTTTTAATTTTTAATTTTTAATAAAATTCTTTAATTTTTAATTTTTGAAAGTATAATATAAATATACAGTCTATAATACATTTACCAAACGAGCTTGAACAAATTTTGACTATAAATTCAATTTATTTTCTTAAATGAGTCAAACCCGAGCTTAATTTTTTGAGCTCGTCACGATCCCGAGCCAAACAATAAACAAACGAGCCCGAGCCCGAGCCCGAGCCCAAACAACCTAAGGCTCGGCTTAACTTGGTTCATTTGCAGCCCTATTCACAATTGAATTGAATTGAATCAAATTATGGGTTTTTTTTACCTCTTTTTATTTTATTTTATTTTTTATTTTTATTCCCATTACTTTGATAAGTTGTAGTTCATTAGAGGCTTCTTTTGAGGTTTTGAATACTGAATAGACTGAAAATAGTTTCTGAACTCAGGAAAACAGGTTTTTAAGTAAATGAGACTCTTTGCAGCTTATGACATTCTCTCCCCAATTCTCTGTTATTTTTACTATTTTTTTTTTTTTTGGAAGGAATCCCCAAAATGCAAAGAGAAGGCAGAGGGTGAATGCAAGGAAAGATAAAGGCTGCATTACTTGTCTGGTAGCTGATTTTTTTTTTTTTAGTCTCTAGTTGCCTACAGTACTTTGACTTGTTGAATTAAACCAAGAAGTTTAACTAAAATTTTGGAGGTCTATCTGGTGCTATAATTTCATTTTGTACGTTGCTGGTATATGGCGCTTATATATGATTCTTTAACAGGTTTTAAATTTGATGTTATGTAACTGTGTTAAGTAATCGACCTACAAATCATTTTACTAGGATAAAGGAGTTGATTTGTACGAATTTGGGCCTGTTTGATCGAAGTTTGAGTGAGCTTTAATGGCTGGAACATAGAGTTGATCAAAGAATAACTACTTCAAGGATGAATAACACCCCAGCCAGCATTATGCCCACGCGCGCTTGCAACGTGTGTGGTGGCCTGGAATGGTATGTTGATTCGCGACTCGCAAGTCAGGCACAATACCTCACTCGCCAACCCCATCTAGTGGGCCCAATATAGGAGCGTGTAGTGTGTGTGAAGTTGTGATTTTGGTATATCATTCTTTCACTATGATATTGGTCTTCCTTCCCTTCTTGGCAAATCCAAAGTGGCAACCTTCAATTATATTTCGGACAGAGTATTCTCCAAAACAAAATCCCTGAAGGGCAAGTTATGTCCAAGGCTGGTCGAGAGGTCATGATCAAGGCCGTGCTTCAGCTTTGCCCACCTATTCTATGCAATGTTCCAGGCTTCCCAAACACAACGGTAAGGTTCTCACGAGTAAATTTCTCAATTTCTGGTGGAGCGGGGAGGAAAAATCCAACACAATCAAATGGATCAGTTGGGATAAGCTTTGCAATTCAAAGACGGACGGAGTATCGGCTTTAAAAATGTTGAAGCTTTTAATACTACCCTCTTGGCTAAACTGGCATGGAGAATGGAAGTGGGTGACGAATCTCTATTGTATAAATCTTTCAAAATGAAGTACTTTAAAAATTGTGACTTTGTTGATTATCCATGTAACTCCAGTGCTTCTTGGGTGTGGAAAAGTATCTATTCTGCCAAGGAAGTTATCAAACATGGCTTCCGGTGGCGTAGCAGTGATGGTAGGAGCTCGGCGCTTGCACTCCACAGGCCAGTGTTCGAACCTTCCAAGCCTCCTATGTTCTCGACTCATCCGGTGTGTGGCTATGGGGCTGTGCTACATTGGTTGAATTGATTGCAATCAATAAATAATGAAGAATCTCCTACAATTGTGATTCCAATTGAGGGTACATGTGGGTACTTGACTCGAGAGTATTTCATGCATGGAGCAAAGAACAAGAGATGAGACTATCAATGCATTACTTGGACATGATCCTGAGTTTTTAAAATAAAATTCATTGGTTGAATTGATTGCAATCTAATTGGAACATCTGCTTGAGTTATTTATCAAAAGCTTAAGTAAAATTCAGTCTTGAAGTTGCTTCTACGTAAATTATAACACTTCGCCCATTATCTTGCATTTCTAGTTACATAGAATGACATTAATATTGCAGGCAAATCCTCTTATGGAATATATTTTTAGAATGGGTTGTCTCCATGAACACAAAATTCATGGTACATTAGAACACCCCTACTACGGGCATTAAATTTTTTTGTCACATCTAGTCTAGAATATTAAGTATGACATTGAATGGTAATTGCAGCAAGTTCTCAAAATAGGAATATGCAACAAAAAGAAAGCAAGCTTGGTCAAGCACAATAAGGTATGGAGGTTGGACCTACTGCAGTGGAAGTTTTATCCGCCATGCTTAGAGAAGGATTTTATAGAAAATGAATCAATAAGGAAGCTTACTTTTTGTATCCCCAACTAAATCTACAGTGGAAAAAATTGAGGCCATTCCAGTAATTCCCTTTGAAGTGACTATCAGAGACTTGTAGGAAACCATCTTCAAACAATAACTTAAACCTACCTAGTTCTTATGATGAACAGGAGCTGGAGACAGGACACAACGCTAGAAAAATGTATCCATATCTAAAAAAGCATATTAATAAAATGACCTACAAACACACATATCACAACTCTTATTACTCTCCATGAACACAAAACTTCATGGTACATTAGAACACCACTACTATGGATAATATATATATATATTTTTTTTCATCCCATTTATGAGACATGAATTGTAATTGCAGGAAGTTCAAAAAATAGGAACATGCAGCAACTTCAATATTAAATAGTCCATGCCAGTTGAACCCCTTGCCCAGAGACTGAAATTCATTATGGATTTTGGTCCTTGTGAACTTCAAGATCCATTTAGAAGGGTGTTTGAATGAATTAATTGAAGTGAATAGCTCGCATAATTTCAATGTGGAGAGTATAAAACGATGTATCTATACATAATACATTAATTAAGAAACGTACCAATATCATAAACAATTAAAAAACGTACCAATTAAGAAACGTACCGATTAA